CAGAAAGGTACAAATCACGCGGATTGAGCCGAGACCCACGGCCCCAGAAGAAGGCAGAGTTCACAAAGCATCCCCCACAAATTTCGGCTTGGTCTTCACGGGTCGTTCCCCCCGTGAGCTCCCCTTTCGAGTCCAGGGACAAAGTTTGCATGGCGTCCCTCCCCCCATCTCGGCACACACACTTCACACGGGTCGTGCCCCAGAGGGAGATGGTTTCACGTGCGGCCCTAGCGGAAGGAGTTGCATAACGTCACGTTGCCCTGTGCACGTTGCCTGTCTCCTCACACAGATCGCACCCAACAGGGAACTCCAACGACAGCCCCAGAGCCAAGGTTCGCATTCCGCCGCCCTGCTCCTGTCGGCACACCCATGACCTGGATCGTGAGATCGGGGCGTCCTGGGTACTTCTCGGCACACGAAGCAGCGGCGCTGGGTCCTGGTTGCCCCTTTTTCTGTTGTTCTCCTCCACGTCTGTCCTCCTCCTCCTCTTCTACATGTCTGTTCTTTTCGGACAGCCCGGTCCGCTGCGCCCGCCAGGTTAATATGTTTCTCGCTCCGCTAAGTCGGCGGGTGTTCCCTGCATTCAGATCGCAAAAAGCTTGGTCTTCATGTCTGGGCAACGTGACACACGATCAGGAGAATAAGAATGATAAACACAATAATAAGAAACAACAAAAAGAAGCACAAACAGAGGAGGACGAAGGGACAGCCGAAACAGATGCCGCAACGACGCTGGCCCGCCCCGAAACAGCCCGCACGTGTATGACATGAGGCTGGCCCGCGTGAGTTCACCCCCCTCACTCCGCCGTGCAGGCTGGCTTGCGGCTTTGGTGAGGTTGAATGTACGGGCTGGATATCACTTTCGGCTGGCTGCCATGGCCCGCCAGTACAACGCGCATTCAAGTGAACTGCCATTGAAACTGCACGCAATCTCGAACATCCACCTGGAAACTATTGAGTCACCTTCGAACTTCATTCGCACATCATCCAGGGAATCAAACATCAATCGAGACATGGACTAAAATAAACATCACCGGGAGCATCATCGCACATCAAACATCCAGAGAATAAAACAGCAATCGGGACGTCAGCGCGACTGTAGTTTGCACGAGTTGGCAACAACAACTCTGGAAACTATGCGCACTGCCAAATAGGACACCCACGTCTCGTGGGTTCTTTCAGGCTTCCTTCGATCGAGGCCCAGGGTGTCGGCCCGCCGAAAGGCGCCCTGAATATGACCATACCCACGTCTGCGGCAATGATCTCCGCATTCTCCTGCAGCCACCAAACACACATACACGAGGAAGGGGCGAACCCAGGATGAGGACAAGTAACAGTATCACCAACAGCCCCATCATCAGAAGATGTGCGAGCGACGCAATCAATGAGGACCGACGCTTATCTGAAACTCGATCGCCCCTCTCCGAGCTCACTGCCCCCTCCTCGCCCTCCACCTTGTCTTCCCGCCTCCCGCCACCGCGCCCCGCTCTCTGCATTCGTTGGCGGCGCGCACAGGGGGTGGCGCGAGGGCTTCCAGGGTGGCTGTTGTCCCATAAGGCGGGAAGGCTTCTTGAAAGGCAAAGGCCTTGTTAGCGCCAGAATACTTCTAAGAAGCCTGAAGCAATTCTGTGGACGCTTCAAGACAGGCACCCGCCTCCTTAGAAGCCCGGCACCTTCTTAGAAAGCCCCCTCCCCTCCCAACACAGCGCTTGATATTTTCTCAGGGCCGCAGCTCCGTACCTGCAGACCTTCGCCCGCGAACCCTGACTCCGCGTCGTCGCTCCCTGGTCTTCGAGGACTTGTGCATATGATGTTGATGAGGAAACCGCGCACCTTGCATCCCTCAGCCCTGCGCGTGAGGAGCAACAGGAGGAGAGAGAAGGACGATCTACCGTCCTCGCAAGCAATTCCGGCCTTGGAGAGCCCCGACCACGAGTGGGAGAGAGTTTCCATTCACTTGCATACTCACTCGCTTACTTACTTACTTCCTTACTTCGCTACTTGCTTACATACTTACGCAGCGCCATCGGGCGTCCCCTGCCGCGCTCGCGCTCCCGCGCCATCCCCCCCCCCCCAGACGCTACCGGGGGACCCTTTCCCGAGAGGGGAGGAATGGGGGAGAGGCCACCAACTCTCACTGTGACACATCCTAGGGTCTACAGAGGAGGAGGAGGAGGAGGAGAGGAGGAGGAGGAGGAGGAGGAGGACGAGGAGGACGAGGAGGAGGAGGAGGACGAGGAGGAGGAGGAGGAATGAGGAGGAGGAAGAGGAGGAAGAAGAAGAAGAGCGGCCGGGCCGCTCATGATGTACTCTATGCAGACGTGGTTCCACGTGAATAGCGTGATATCTGTAATACCCTTGTCCGTAACGCTGTGCCTGCCGTTGACGTCATGACGACAACATGCTGCTCAAGTGGCTTCACCTCTCAGACTCCCGCCAGATTGTAGCTCTGCCTACCGTGGACTCTCGGCCGCCCTCGCGGTGGACCGTAGTCTCTCCGGAGCATTCCTTCTCCTCCTCTCTCTCCTCCTCCTCCCCCTCCTTCTCATTCTCCAGTGTCCTTCTCTCTCCTCACCCTCCCTCCACCTCCAGCTCAGGGTCGGCCCCTGGAACTCTCCTGGAGCAAGCTGTGGCGACGAGGAATAGCCCCATTTGATCTGGACTCCGGTGAGGAGCACGCCCTTCTTCCAGTGGGCGGACTGCCCTTTAGCAGACCAAGGCAGAGGCACGCACATTTTGCAGGGCGCAGCAGCTGCAAACACGGCCGTATTGGGAGGCCGCTTTTAGTCCCATCGTGGCCGCGTTTACCCTGTAGCGTTGCCAACTTGCGGCAGTCACATACGAACACACATGCTGGCGGACATGTTGTGTGACCCCGCTCGGGAGCCCGTGGGGGGGAGCAGTCGGGAGCACAACGGGAATGGCGTGACCCCGTGTCGGCCCCGTAACCCTAAAGGGCTGTGTGGACCAGGTGACCCCACGTGGGCCATGACCACCGCTCCAATACAGAGCCAAAACGGAGGGCGCCAAGTAGGGGAGCAACACCAGGAATTGCTCAACCTTGAACGATCGGCCGTTTCCGAAACGTTCGATCGTACAACGGCGTTCAACGTTGAGCGCTGGCGGCGGGGTCGCCTCTGGTCGACACGACGCGAACTTACCGTAAGGGAGCCTCGGGCGGCACAGGACACGATGGAAAAAAACAGCAAAACACCTTCTCCCCGCCCCCCGCCGGCGCCAACGGCTGGCGCCGACGGCCCGGCCTGCCCTTCCCCACCGCCCGCTCGTGGAGGCAGCCAGAGCTGGCCCAAGGTTTCGATGCTCGTTCTGGGAACCTTCCTCGAGCCACTCGCTCCACTCACGAGTCGATGCTGCGAGTCGAACTGGAGTCGAACCGATCCGTGAGGGCGGCCGCGCGCGGGACTGGAAGTGGGCGCCGCGGCGCCGCTCGTTCAGTCGAGGGAGAGCAGGCTTCTTCTTTCGGGGATGGACAGACCCCCCTTTATTAAAACGTGGTTTAGTGAAAACGACCTGAGGCCCAAACCTGGCAAGCGCAAGCCTGGAACATAACGGCCACGGCGCCATCTCGAGAACCGAAAACGGACAATTCACTAATCGACGTGTCACTGTTGGGGGTTCTGTCCACCCCCGATTCTTGCGCGGTGTGAGCCACCATCCTCCACCTGTGACCACATTCTGCTTCCCGACGCGACGCTCCAGGAGGGCGCGGGCGGCTGGGGGCAGCTGGGGCCAGGGCCGCCCTCTGCCCGCCGGCGCCTGACCCCCCCGGCGTCCTCCAGGGTCTGCAGCTTGGCCGCCGCCCCCAGGCCGCAGACGGCGAAGAGGCGCAGCGCGAGCCGACGGGCCCACCACTCTCGGGGCAACATGCGCGAGCAGACAACGGCAATTGCCGACAGCGACGGTCACAGCCTCGGCGTCGGCGTCGGCGGCTTCTGCAACGACGACTCCGACTGCGACGGCGGCGGCAGCGACGGCGACGACGCCAGCGACGAGGCCAGGCTGTGCTGCCCAGCAGTGGTCAAGCAGCGGCAAGTGCTGGGCGGCAAGGCCTCGAAAGTTCAGAGGAAAGGAATCTGATGATGAGGAGATTGGACAACACAAACAGAGACAACACGGACACGTAACCTGAGGAGGGAGAGAAGGAGGAACAGCACGAGGGACACAACCACGCTCCAACATGCATGGCCCGTTCTCTTCCTCGTCCGAGGGCTGGGACACCTCGTCGACGATCAAACTCCACGACGGCGACGACGGCGGCAGCGAGGTCGATCACGACGGCGCCAGCGTCGACGACGACATCAACGACGGCACAAAGACGACGACGACAACGACGGCGGAGGCGACAGAGACCACGGCGGCGCCGGCGTCGGCGACGTCGACGACGGCGGCAAAAGCGGCGACGACGACGACGGCGGCTGCGGCGACGGCGACGGCGGCCGCGGCGGGCGGCGGGGCGGCGGCGGGCGGGCGTCGAGCCGCACGGGACGGCGCCCAGCGGGCAGCCCGAGGGGGCCTCCGAGGCCAGCGCGCGCTCCACGGAGGGCATCAGGCCCTCGCCGGCCCCCGACCCGCACCGAAACACGGGCTTGGAGGTTGGGGGGGACGAGATCGAGGATGAGAAAGATGTTGACGAGGGGCAGGGGCACGAGCACGAGCAGGATCAGGAGCCACAGCCCCAGAGCAGGAGAAGGAGGAGGGCCCGGCCCAGGAGAAGGGAAACAGCAGGAGGGGGACGATCGGCAAAGGGGAACTATTTTTCTTCGCTCGCTAAGGCGCGATCTGTTGACGCAAATTCTTGCGCCGTGCCGCGCGTAATCTCAGCAAGCTTCTGATAAGTCGACCCTCGAGAATTACAATATCAGGCTGACAAGCGCGCGTGGGTGGAGGTGCCCGTGCGGCCATGGACCCTCCTCATCGTCGCTACTGTCTGGCGGGTCCGCGACGATCTCGTCGCCTCCGAAAGCGTCGTAGATCCGCCATCATGCCCCCTGGCGCTTTGAGGCGTGGTGCAATGCCGAGTGCTGCCTGGTAGTAAGTAATATGATTACCTCCCCCACTACCACGCGCCACACGCAGGGGCGTGCAATGCAATGCCCCCCCTCTCTGGAGGCTTCCTGGGCGGCCTGACGCCAGTTTGGAGCTCTCCGAGGCGTCAAAGATGCTCAAGAGAGCTTCCAAGACGGGCCAGGCAGGCCACCGAGGCCGCTGAGATGGCCACAGATAGCTAGAACACGGCCCAGGACTGCCCAAACACGGCCCAAGACGGCGACAATACAGCCCCGGGTGCCCCCCAGGACAGCGCACGAGGGCTGCAACCACAAGGGGGGCGCCAACACATTTTCACATTCTCACCGTTCTCCCCGTCAGCTTCAGACCCCAAGAGGCCTAACATGTTGTTCCAACACTGCCCAGAAAAGGCCCCAATATAAGACGGCCCAAGAGACCTCCAAGACGGCCCCAACGGACCCCAAGAGGGTCCCAAGATGGCCCACAAAGGCTCAGAACATTGGACCCCGGCGGCGCCAGACGGCCCAGGAGTCCCTAAGACTGTCGCTCCCGATGAAGTCAGAAGAGGCCTCCGAGAGGCCTCCAATATGCTTCCAAAGGACCCCAGGAGGCCCCGCCGGTTTGAATCACCGTGCCACGGGAGGAGGAGAAGCCGGGTGAGGAGGGGGAGGGGGAGGGGGAGGAGGGAAGAAGCGAAAGGGATGACGACTGCGACGACAATAAGGAGGCACGCCCCGACACGATGCGGAAGACCGTGCCATAAGCTGCGGCCCTCTCAAAAATAAGTGCGAGCTTGTCACACGGTGCGGCCTTCTGGACAGTGCTCGCTGGGTCACCGCACAGAATGCTGAGCGTGCCTCCTCCACGTGTTCCTCGTAATGCCCTTCCTTCTTCACGTCTTCTTCCTCCTCCTCCTCCTCCTCCTCCTCCTCCTCCTCCTCCTCCCATCATCATCATCATCATCATCATCATCATCATCATCAGCATCATCATCATCATCACCATCTTGATCCTGATCATCACCATCCTCACCGTCGTCATCATGTTCCTCATCATTCGGCTCGGCCCAAAGATGCCCTCACAGCAATCCAAGACAGCCTCAAGACGGCCGATGCAGCTCACACCATGGAGCCTCTGAGAAAATAGCGTCAAGGTGTCTCACATGTTAGGTCCTCTCTCTCTTCCCCCTCCCCATCTTCATCATCAGAATGTTCTTCACTCCCCTCATCCGCCACTATCCTCCTACTCCTCCTCCTCCTCCTCCTCCTCCTCCTCCCCCTCCTCCTCCCTCCTCCTCCTCCTCCTCCTCCTCCTCCTCCTCCTCCTCCTCCTACTCCTCTTCTCATCCGATCCTCATCCTTTTTTCTCCTGGTTGTCCTCAGAGCCACCACCACCACCGTCGTCATCATCATCATCATCATCATCATCATCATCATCATCATCATCATCATCATAATCATCATCATCATCATCATCATCATCATCATCATCATCATCAGCATCGTCATCATCACCATCAGCATCATCATGTTCAGCATCGTCATCAGAATCACCACCTATCGTCATCAGTACCAGCAGTATCATCCCATATCCATCATCGTCATCATCATCATCATCATCATCATCATCATCATCATCATCATCATCATCATCATCATCATCATGCTGATCATCAGCATCGTCATCAGCATCAGCATCATCAGCATCGGCATCATCAACATCACCATCGTCATCATCACCACCAACACCAGCAGCATCAGCAGCACCATCGCCATCATCATCGTCATCGTCATCATCACCACCACCACAACCACCACCATCAACATCATCATCAACAACACCATCACCACCACACTCATCATCGTCATTTCCTCCGATCCCCTGCTTCGCCTGGGACGGCATCACAGCAAACCAAGATGGCCCCAAGACGGCCGAGATATCAGAAGTGGCGGCTTCCAATCTGTTCCAACCGACCTGGAAAAGCGTGCCGCATGTTACAGCTCTCCCAAGCCTGCGGACAAACGGTGTCACACGTTTCTATCTCCTGTGCGCCCCTGGCAGAGTCGTCACCTAGAGTGTCGAGCAAGCACGGTGGCGGGGCTTGCCGCAGGCAGCTGGATGACCGTCTCGACCTTAAGATGCTGCAGCGAAGAGATGGCATCTCGGATGGCCGTGGCCCCCTCTTGCTCGAGGCCGCAGCCAGTGAAGTCCAGAGTCAGCTCCCGCAAGCCTGGGGGCAGCCTGGAGCCTATGCTCCGCCCGCCGGCGGCCCCCAGCCGACAGCCACGAAAATCCAGGCTGAGCTCCTGGGGACACCACAAGATCGAGGGCGTCTTTCTTGAGACTCACGCAGGCTGACTTGCATGGCATTCCCCCCCCTCTCCGCCGCCTTTTCAAGCAATGCTGCGTCGAAAAGGAGTGCGAGTGAGTCCCGGCCTACGTGAAGCTCAGATTCCCCTTCGGGCCTCGCCACCCCCGCTCCTCCCCCTCCATGCAAATCAACTTGCCAGAATGTGCAGAACAACTGCCTCAGGACTCATACTGATACCGCTACTCACCAGACCTCTCCCAGAGTGCGTTCTGATCAGAACTTCGAGGCGAATGCAGCCGTTGCGACGAGGGCTTCCCAGGCGGCCCCGAAGATGCGGCCATGAGGCAAGGGTAGCAGCATGGCTACCTTCTTCTTCGCCTCTGCGCTCCTCGAGGTCGCCCGGCAGCCCGGACAGCAGCGTCGACGCACCCTGTGCAGTGGCCGAGCCGGCTGGGCAGTCGCAGTCGGCGGAGACGTCGAGCGACAGAGCGCGCAGGCAGGCGGGCAGTCTGCCAGCAAGGGCCACAAGCGCGGCGTCCCCGACGCCGCAGCCTCCCAGGCCCAGCTGCAGGGCCTCCAGGCGGAGCAGCGAGGCCAGCCTTGCGGCCACGGCCCCGGCGCCGCGGTCGGTCACAGAGGACCCGGCGAGGTCGAGGCGCAGGCGCCGGAGCCTCCTCGGCAGGGCCTCCGCCAGCGCGGCCGCCCCCGCGTCGCCGATGCCGCAGCCGACGGCCTGCAGGGACAGCTCTGAGAGGCCCTCGGGCAGGCTGGCCCCGAGGGCCGCGGCGGCGCGGTCGCCGAGGCCGCAGCCGGAGAGGTCCAGCGACAGGGATGCGAGTGAGGCCGGAAACGACTTTGCGAGCGGCTGGTCGCCCAGGCCACAGCCGAAGAAGCTCAGGTCCAGCCGCTCGAGCTTCTCGAGCAAGCACGCCCGCTTGAAGACGGCAAAGGCTCCCCGGTGCGTGAGCTGGTGGCAGCCGCCACCTTAGCCGCCCCAATGCGCAACAAGCAGAACGTAGCGTGTTGATACGGGGGTCAACACGGAGATCGAAGACGTACGTTTAGCGCGATATGTTCGCTGGAACGTCTATGAACCAACACGCTGAACCAACACTCAACGCGTTCGCACGGACGTGTTGAACACGGTACGTGTTGCGCTTCGGAGCTGGTGTATCAAGGCAGCTAAGGCCACCACAGTGCAGCTTCAGGTCCGCCAGCGCGGCCGGCAGGCTCTCGGCGACCGCCGCGGCGCTGTCGTCGAGGAAGAAGCCGCAGCCACCGACCTCCAGGCTTAGCCTTCGGTGGCAACTCATGGGAGCCTCCCGTTCTATCTTGTTGGTCCGACGCTAATCGATGCCGACGCGAATCGACGCTATCAACGCTAATCAACGCTGAATCGACGCTGACCGACCCTAAGCGACGCGAATCGACGCCACATCGGCGGCATCTCATCGATCACCAGACGCTAACCGACGGGAGCTCACGCTAAAAACAGAGTTGCCAGGGTATATAATTGGGGAGACGTTATACTCGGGTTCAGGGGACTCGGGTTGGCCTGACGGGGCGTCGTCAGGAACATGACGAGGCTCACTCTGAAATTGGACGCGAGCTCCCGCTGCAGACATCCCGCGAAACCTGGACTGTCAGAGTTCAGGGCGCGCCCGCCAAAAAACGTCGGCACACCCGAACTCTGGCGAACCCGAGTCTTACGATTCCTCGAGAACTGGCCATCTCCCAGACGTCCATTCTCTGTGCTTTCCTTCGGTTTCGTGTCTCGGTTTCGTGCGTGGTTTTTTCGCAGGATGATCCAGGATGCTCCTGAAGAATCCCCGCCGGGAGAAGGTGCACACGTCCGAGCGATACCAAGAGTATGGCAAGCCTCCAAAAAGCTTTGCAAGTCCAGCCTTCGCAGGCCGGCCGGCAGAGCCGCCGCCAGCGCCCGCACCCCGGCGGCCCGCAGCGGGCACCCGTGCAGGTCGAGGCACAGCGACCGCAGGCCGGCCGGCAGCCTCCTGGCGAGCGCCACGGCCCCCGCCTGACAGGTGCTCTTGACGGCGCTGGGGGGCCGTGGGAGCAGGGAGAGGCGACACCAGCACACAGCAGGGCGAGGGGGTGCGAGGAGGCAAGGGGGGTCTCCCTGGCGGCGTGGTCCCCCCCCTCTCTCGCTCGAGACGTCCCCAGCATCCAGCTCGGGGAGGCATCGTGGACCTCCTCGCTCGAGGTTGGCCCCCTGGTCTGGGGGGCAGGGGTAAGGAGCCGAACTCTATACACCGACGCCTTTGTCTGGCCTCACACTGAATCTCGCACAGGAGAGCGGATCCTGGTGTATACGGGATCCTGGTGTATACATTCTTCGTTGTTTCCCTTGGAAAACGGGGAAACAAGTATACACCACACCACCCCGACGTCGTCCCCGACCCTCAAAAAGTCCCGACCCTGGTAATGTATACGTTCCAGTTTCCGAAGGGGAACCTGTGGATGATGGGATGCACAAAGACGTACTAGTACTATATGTCATCCTTGGACGCGCGCGTCCGACCCGAACATATAGTATACCCATCTTGTAGTAGATCGTTTCCCGAGCGGTGTGGCCAGAATGCGCCCGCCACAACGCATATACTATAAGATTCCTCGGTGCGCGCGTCGCCCCTGGGAGGGCGACGCACATATAGTATAAGTATGTTGGGGTGTCGCCGAGATGAGGAGGCCCGGGTCTGGATGCTGGAGGCGAAGCTGGCGAGCTCACAAGCTGGGGCAGGCGAGCCCCGGGCAGCCAGCAGAGCTCCTTTTGGTCACGATGGCTCGGATCGAGCTTACAGCGCTGCGGTTGACGTCGGAACCTTCGGAGAAGGAGACCAGGGTCTGGAAGACTGGGATTCCAATCGTGGATCGGCCACGGATATCACCGCCGCCCTCAGCAGGCAAGGGTTCCTCCAGGGTCTGCGGCTTCCTGGATCCATGCCTTCACGAACGCAAGGCGGCGGGGCTTCTCAGAAGCCCTCCCGCTTTCTGAAAGGCCTTCGGCATCTTAGGGGAAGGCGTAGAAAACTTGTCAGAATGGGACGCACAGGGACATACGAACACTATATGTCCTCCTTCGAGGCGCGCGTCCGACCCGAACGTATGATAGTATAAAATCTCGTAGTATGCCGTATCCCGAGCGGTGTGGCCAGAAACGCCCGCCACGACGCATAGACTACAAGATTTCACGGTGCGCGCATCGCCCCTGAGGGGGCGACGTACATATAATATAAGTATGTTGGGGTGGCGCCGACAGAAGGCCAGAGGCCTTCCGCGCCTCCTGACAGGGCCCGCCCCCCTCGCACTTTCCCCCCGCCTGGGCCCGCCGCCGATCGATCGCGCTGGGGGCGTCTCGCTTCCGTCTTCCACTCTTCGTTCGCTCTTTGGCCCGTCCACAGCTTGTGAAGCGCGGCACCCCACGGAGCGGGCGTCGGGCAGGCGGGCCTGTGGTTTCTGAAAAAGTCGAGCTTGAAACCGACCAAAGAAAGAAAGCTCTCTGCGCTTCTGAAGAAACGATATAATAAAGGTGCAACAAACATGTGTCCTCTGTTAGGGACGCCTGCCCCGGGGCAGCTGGACGGTTTATACTCTTACGGTGGCACGCCGGGGTGTAAACCTTCCAGCCGCCCTGGGGCAGGCGTTCCCGACGGCGGCACAGTTGTTGGAGACCGTTCTGCCCCCCGCCTCCCGCAGGTCGCAGCCCCGCAGCCCCAGCGACAGGGCCCGCAGCCCCTCGTGCAGGCCCTCGCACAGCTGCGCCGCGCCCGCGTCTTGCAGGCCGCTGCCGCCCAGGTCCAGGCGCACCTCCGGCGCGGCCACGGCGGCCAGCAGCCGCCCGAGCCCGCGCGCCACGCGCGCCCTCGCGCGGCCGCGCACCCAGCGCACGCCGCTGGCGAGCAGCACCGCCCACACCTCTCGATGATCCTCCAAGCGTGTGTGAGCACAAACCCATGGACCCCCTCCGAGTATGAAGAGATCCCGACGGACGGCCGTGATACGTTGGCTGGGCACTTGCCGAGCCTCGGGACCGCCCAAACACTACTCATAATGAAAAACAGTTCCTGGAGAAGGAGTCCAGACCTCCGAGGTCCAGATCTCTGGGGTCCAGAAACCGTGCGTGTTAGCGCCAACTTGTCCATCAATTCCTGCCGTCGGCGTCGCCTCTCCCCTGTGCCCCACTGCCCTACGATCTTGGCGTTGCAACTTTTTCTCAACTTGCATTGTCGCCCCGGTTTTCTTCCCCAGGGCCCTCACATAACGATCCAGCTCGAAAAACTGACGCAGAGAGATGGTGTGTAGGGCTCTGGTCGCTATTTTTCGTGATCATGCATGTCTTTGCAACGTCAGATCTGAGGATCCATCCGCTGGCGCCAGCCGCTCGGCTTCCCGCCGCCGCTTCGGGTTGCTCCTTCGTGGGCTACCCGCATCGCTGCATGTACATGACAGTCGTCATCGGCGCACGCTCGATAATTATCAGCTTACTCAGCGGAACCCGCTAAAGCCCTCGATGAGTTGGACCAACTGGCCGCGAAGGAAAAATTGTCCACCGGAGCTGTTGAGGACGACGCAGGCGGTGCTATGAGGGCCGACACAGGCTGCGTGCTGTCGGCAGGACTGGACGGGGCACACACACACACACACACACACATTGGGCTAACGCACGTTCTCAGGACACGAACCTCCAGCCGGCCCCAGCGCCGCCGCCAGGATCGCGACGCCGCGCAGCACCTGAAGGAGCAGGGAGAAGAATGACGAGGAGGAAGAGGAGGGCGACCCCTTTGCCACCCCCATGTGGCCTCTCCCTTTTCCCTTCCTCCGCCCCGAAACTTCTGGGCCCTTTTTTCTCCCCCTGCGAGGGGTGGCCCCCTCCGCGCGCCTCGGGCGCGCGCGCGCGGCCGCGGCCGCGCGAACAGCTTCGTCCAACGGGACATCGAGCTGCGAGCGAAGCGAAGCGAAGGAGGGCGACCCTGACTTCGGATCCGCCGTGCTCTGGGCGGTCTCGCTCGGGCGGGAATGGTCGCCCCGCTTGTCCGGCTCCTCCTCTGGCGTCGGGCCCGTCCGTGGCGGCGTCCACCCCCCGACCCCACGGGAGGCCCGATCAGGGCGACGGCACGAGCGAGGGGGCATCGGCCCCAGACCCCCGATGGGAGGCACAAGGGCATACTAGTACTATATGTTCTCCTTGGAGGCGCGCGTCCGACCCGGACATATAGTATACCCATCTTGTAGTGTATCGTTTCCCGAGCGGTGTGGCCAGAAAGCGCCCGCCCCGAAGCATATACTATAAGATTTCTCAGTGCGCGCGTCGCCCCTGAGGGGGCGACGCACATATAGTATAAGTATGTTGGGGTGACGCCGACCCGACGTCTTGATTCTGCCCATGGCGCGGAGTCCCCATCTGGACCCCTGCCTCGGCACTCGTTCCCCACCCCGAGCCCGCATCGCTTCTCTCACGGCCCTGGGGCCCAGTGAGGGCCCTTGTCGGCCGAAGGTGGAGAAAGACATCCCGTCGTGTTTGTGTTCACGACGCGGGGGGGGTTCTGGAACACAAACGACGACGACGTTGGTGTTCCACACGACGTGGAGCACAAACGACAAACAGAAAAACATCCCGTTTTGGTTCACGACGACGTGTTTGTGTTCATGACCAGCAGGCCCCCCCCCTCCTCCGTGAGCACCGCAGCAGCTCCAGCGCGAGGAAGGGCGCCACGTGGGTGTCGCAAGCCTGCGCTCGCTCCGGTGGCTCGCCTGTGCCGCCGCCGCCGCGCAGCGGCGAGAGCGCTGGGCGCTTGCTCATGGCTCGGTATCGTTGAACCTACGCGTAGGAACTTTTGCTCAGCGTGTCGCCGCGCCGGCCTTGGCGACACGCAGTCGCTTACAAGCGGATAGCATGTCGCTCCGCACCGCGAGGCGGGAGGCTCGGAAAGGCTCGAGACGTTTAACGCTTGTGGACAGCGACGTGGATAGCGCGTCGCGTCGGAGCGTGGTGGGCCAGAGCTGGCGGCAGCACATTCTAAGCCAAAGTTCCTGAACGTATCCCCATCCCAGCGACTATGCCACCTCAGCCTCACCATTCCATACTCAGGTTGGGATGTAGAGACCTTCCAAATGGGGTCAGAGTAGATGGGGTCGGAGGATCCCACCGCATCGCCGATGCATCGGCGTCGTCGGCGACGCTTCGGCGACGTCGGCATGGAGAAAATCAGGTTCCACATCGAGCCGCATCGCCGATGCGGCGCGATCCTCCGACCCCACCTACTCCAACCCCATCTGGGAGGTCTGGACCAGTATCGTGCAACCTATCCCCATCCCCGCTGGGCCATGGCACCTCAGCCCCACCATCCCACCACCCCAGTTGGGGCTAGGCCCCCCGAAGCCCGACGGGAACCTCCTGTATCCCAATATTGGGGGTTGAATCGGCCAGTGGGGCCCAGGCCACGCTAGTTGGGACCCTCAGATCCGACGTTGAAGCAAAACTGCATCATCACGAAAAGTCGCAACCAGAGCCTTAGACCCATGTTTCTGCACCATTTTTTCGAGGACCCATTTTTCTGCGCATCGGATCGATCCGTGAGGGTCCTGGGGCCCGAACTTTGGTGGCGAAAACGCCAACTGCAACACAATTGCAACGCCAGGATCTCACGGTTTTTCATGACGTCGACCCCCAGAAGTCTGGACCACTTCCCAGCGACGAGCTTTCATCCTGCATAAATTGTTGGCGGTCCTGGGGCTTGGCGGGAGCTCCTGGAGGCCGAAACAACAACGAAAAAACGCCCGTTGCGATTTTCTCGGTGACCCGAAGTGGTCTGGGCCCCTTGACTCCACATCCTCCATATTTGAATTGATTTTCCGACTTGACACTGTGGGGATATGCGCCCCAATCGGTGCGTAAAAAACAAGCGGTGGTTATCCGCCTCAGAGAACTGGGGCGGATACTTCCACAAGAGCCTGGCGGAAATAGCGACGGCAAAGCTAGAGGCATCCTAGATAGGGTCCGAGTCGATGGGGTCACAGGATCGCGCTGCATCGCCGATGCATCGGCGATGCACTGGCGACGTCGGCGATGCATCGGTGACGCCGGCGTCGTGCAGAAAATCGGGCTCAGCATCAAGCCGCATCACCGATGCATCGGCGATGCGGCGCGATCCTCCAACACCATTCTCATACGCCATCGGGGAGGTCCCGAAAAGAAACGCGGAACCGGACGTCAGAGGAGAGGGTCTGGGTACAGAGGAGGGGTCTGGTTACCCAGGGATCCGATGTCTTGATTTTTCCCCATGCGGGATCCCCAGAGGTCCCGACCCATCCCCCAGGACTGGTACTTCATCCCGAATCGTTTTTTTGACGACCGTGGGTCGCCGTGGCTGCCGCCGCGCCGCTGGCGAAGGGCGGCCCTGGGCCCTGGCCGCTTTCTGCGGTCGATCCTGGCAAATCTGCTTGCACGGAGGTGGGGATGTTAGAGGCCCAGGGCTCGGGAAGGGTTTGTGCGATTATGATGCGTTGTAGCGCAATGGCAAACAGGGGCCCTTAGAGGTCAAACGGCGGCGAATGGCGGCGAGTGGTGCGTATACACACGTCACGCATGCAATCTCTCACACCCGTGAAACTTTATCACGAGCTAGCCGGCAGACCGCGCAGTACCGCTGGTCTAAGTAAGCCTCTAGGGTCCGTGAAAGGAACACTCTCATGCTGGGATTGCTCAAGTCAAGGTAGCCAAGACTCAGTCACTTGCTTCCCTGATGGGATAGCATTCACTGTGGCCCTCGCCAGTTGTTGCTGAACTCTCTTTAAGGTAGCTTCAGGATCTGGGGTTACAGCATACGAATCGCTACGCAAGATCTCAACAAGGAAATCCGTAAGCATATTCTTCGTCAGACAATCAACAGCCATAACACTTGTATCGGGCCATGGGATCTTCTCACACAAATTTGCGCAGATGTCGGATCTCTACTTCTTCCATTCAATTCGTCAGAATATCCAGTCTTGCACTCCCTAAATCAATACTCGTGGCTTATCTTCTGTCTTGCCCATCCTTGGGGCTATAAAGTGTTCTTCCAGACTCTTACAGCCTGTCATCCAAACATGTCTCATGGACACGGTTGAACTGTCTTCCCGACTGGTTGGCAGCTTCTTTCCGGCGCCAAGCATCCCAGGAGCATCTGCGATGGCGACGCGGATGCGTACACCAGATTCTACACCCCATGAACATGCTTGGGTCTCTGCATGTAGTGTAGATTTGCATACCTGTCTGATAATTTTACTAGGTATACATGTAGGGTGAACATGATCACGGTTTTTCCCTCGATGAACCCAGGCCCTGCGAGTCCATTGAACCTAGCCCTCTGTGATCTGAGAGGCTCGAATTCTACCCTTGGCTATATCCTCTTCTCCTGCCCAGCTGGCGTCAGTAACGATAAGAACTATCATAGATTGATCCCACCTAACAGCTCCACCATGAAATACAGATCCGCAGTCGGCGGACTCTTCTGCTAATGCACGGGTGGCTTCCTTGAGATGCAGTGCCTTAGCGTGACGCACTGCTGTCTGCAGTCTGCTCGCACGATGCAATAGCTCAGGTTTGCACTGACGTGTAAGCCAGGACAAAGCACCTACGACCGATCTGAGCAGTGCTGCCCCGCCCTCACTGCATTTTCTCGCGATGGGGACTGTCCCTAGGATAGGATGCAGCTTCGATCTTCTCAATATTATCCTTGGCCGCGATACTCACCGTGCAATCTTCTGAACAATTTCTAAACTCAATAACGGAAATTATCGGACTTGATCTCGCGAGTATCAAACCCTGCTAATGCCGAATCGATCAGTTGCTGGCTTTCATCATCTGCAGCCCATAACATGTCATTTACATGTGGACCTAGCATGCACGTGATCGCATTCTTGTCATTTTGAATACTGAACAAAGCGGACATTATACAACACTCCTCTAGACCATGAGCTTCAAGCCTGTAGCGAATTTTCCCCCATAAACATCGCCCTGCGCCACGCGTGCCATAGACAGGCATGCGCGCGATCAGTGCCCCACCATCCGGTTCTCCTTCGAGTCCGTCGGGCGGTGGCTGAAGTAGCGTGAGGCGTTCGAGTTCCTGACCGTGGAATCACGCAGATGTGATGTCGGCACACCTGAGAGTCTTCTTTGTGCCGGCGGCCCATGATGCTATCAAACTTAGCCCTTCTTGTTCGCATGTTGGCATATCCACGCGGATGCCCAATGACTCTTCCAAATCTCCGCGCACGACAAGTCTACTCTTGCTACTGCGGTGCAACTGGAGGTCCTCCAGATCTGCGGAGATGTTCATTCTTCTCAAACTCAATCCACTGTGTAGGCACCGTGCGATATCCTTCGTCGAGGAGACGTTGCAGTTCCACGGAATCAATAGGTACAACGGCGTTGAACTTCCGCGATTTTCCCCAATCGCCTTGTCTTGCCAGTCGCAAGCCGCTTTAAACGTCCTCATACTCTCGATGATATGCCAGATTCTTTGCAGTCTTTATCTTCTTCTTGGATTGCGGCCTAGGAACGGTGCGCTCGTGGAAGAATCCGACGAGCGATTTATGCGGCCTAACACCGAATGGTGCTTCCCTGCGGGCTAGCAGATCCATGCTCGGCCCCGACGTTCCAGCCCTGCGCATAACATCAAGATGCGGGTTCGCCGGCTCGGGAGCTGGCCCCGACACAGAATCGGAAACCCTTCCCGTGCTGCCATCAGCATTCTCGACTCTTCTGCGCATCACTTCGTTACGACTCTGCATGCCCCGCGCCGTGGGGCGTCGTCTGGCAAAGACCTCTGGAGTGGCGTTCGAGTCACCAGTGATGACCTCGACGCGGGCGTCGCATGAACGACCATTCCTTCAGACAGTTCATATTCCTCCACTTGGCAATTGCTTCTTCTATGGACTCGGGGTCCTCTGGGATCCCCGCCAGCTCCTCCGTCGCCATAGGATGTTATTGTACGAGATGCTCTTGTTCCTGTGGTTATGGCAGCTCGCGTCTTTCGTCCACAAATGACTGTTGTTGTCCGTCTGGAGGTGCTTATCTTTCGACTCCACCGTCGCGATGCTTGGAGAGATACAGGTATGCCAACGTCTCCGCCGCAATTCACGGTCGAAGCCTGTCGACAGCCGCGCAGACAGGTACACCCTTTGTGATAACCCATGCGTTTTTGCCATCGAATCCAACGATTCGAGAACCAGTGTTCCACTTAGCAGTGACTTCGCCGTCGGTCGGCCTTTTGCAAAAACGCACTACATCACCTGCTTGATATTCCCCGGCTAGTGGCGTTGCTTTTCGGAGAGCGGCCCTCGCCGCGCCACTCCCGACGTCGTGTTCCGCGAATGCTTTCCAGGCGGGCGCCTGGATCGCAGCCTGGTGAGAAAACTCGTCGGCCCCGTCCTCTGCAACATTCGCAAGCACTCCTAAGTCGAAAGCTTCCTCGTCATCGAAGCAGTCCACGGTCTAACGCCATTCGATTGGGCTTCACTGCCCATGCGCGGCAGTGTTGTTGGAGCGCAGTGAGGCGCACTCTCGGGGATGGCGTGCCACCTCCCTGTTTAGCAAAGATTGCACGTTGAACTGTTGTACCCTGGCTCACTGTGTTCAAGAAGGTGTAACGTTCTCCGCCGTTGTCCTTTGCCTCTAGACAGTCGACGCCGATTTCATGATTCAAGCAGAATTTCTTGGGCAAGGCAACCTTATGGGTCTGAGCTAACGAATTAAGATGTTCGCAATATTCACATCGACAGTTCCTGGCAGCTTCAATGTAGTCCGACGACATTCGTGGG